CTCAGTCATGGTGTACATTGCCTGATTAATTAGCCCAATTATTGTACAGATTGACTGATTGTTAAACAGGGATTATTGAGAAGACACGTATGAATTGTTCCTCCGTGACCGAAGGTGCACAATTTCCATGTATTCATTATATGTTACAGAACCTGTTGGGATGTATCAGCCATGTGGTGATAAAAACCAGTGCTGCATCAATGGTTCTGTATGCTTCAACGGAAAGTGCATGTGCACCCCTGGTCTCAGATACCACAAGGCGGAGCAGGCATGCGTCAGGAGTGAGTAATTAGTAATAAAGAAATCAATGATAGTTTGCCTTGTTCATCAACACATATTGTGATAACTACATATTGTTTGAATATCGGATATCTTGAGGTAAATGAGCGCTACAGACAAAGTGCACAAGACGGTTGGCGTTTTCTACGTGCTCGTCAGCCCTTACTTTAGTGTTCGTTGCTGACATATAGACGTGAAATCCCTGTTGTGCAGGATGAACAAAGTAGCCCACAGCCACTACATTTGTGCAAGAAGGCGATTAAAGATTAAATATTAGCATATTGTTAGATACATGCATCAACCTGTCGTCATGTTTTCTGGTATGTCTGAACATGACTTCGTAATTGAGATAAAGTCTTAGTGAGTGAGTGATCCCATGAGTGAGTGAGTGATCCCATGAAGTGAGTGAGTGAGTTATCCCATGAGTGAGTGATCCCATGAGTGAGTGAGTGAGTGAGTGAGTGAATGAGTGAGGGAGTAAAGCTATTTGCGGCGACAGAGTCTTAATAGTTCACTTGAATTTTTTTCTCGATAGTCTTTAATAGTCCATTTTTCATCATTCATCATGCTCAGTTCTCCATGCTCAATGCATGCAAGACGCGCCCAAACAATGTGATTATTATTCCCCCCGATAACCCAAGTTGCCTGTGAAGCGCTAGAGGTTAATGATTACATCAGTTATCCCACCGGGTACCCATTTCTCCTCGAAACTGTCAGGAGACAAGCTGCCGAACACCGTTACCCATGTGCGAACTCTCCGCGCCCTGTGATTTGTGGCCCGGGCTCCATGCACAGGACAACTTACCACCACTGATCCGAAAGATTGCACGAGATATTTATGAAGTCAGATCTTCCCTGCCACACCGTTTAAAACATCGGGGATGGTCTTCCTTCCAGCGGCATTGTCACTACGGAGTGTAATCTGTCATTATATGTCATTTCTTTAATTGATGGTAAACCACATCCACAACAAGATCGCTAACCAAAGACAACATTTTTTAAACATCGAGGGAGCTTATTTAACCATAAATAATCCTCAGAGTGGAATCGAGGCCGTACGCGCCCCTGTATAACTACTACAGTCGTGGGTCTAATATATTTTCGTATAAGTAGTGACGTTCGTAACTTCTAAATTTTAAAATAGATTTACAACAGTCGTGGGTCTAATATATTTTCATAGAAATAGTATAGTTCTGTTTTTCGATTTTGGTGATCTGAAATATGGGGGTGGGTTCGCCTATACCGTCCCAGTTGCTTCCGTCGTCTTTGGGATAGCTCGAATGTCTATTCGAATTAACGCTAGCCGGAAACAATGCGGATCTGATCGCTAACCTCAAACAAATATTACCTCTGCTTTTGATGTTGACCGTGGCTTGTTTTTTCTTGTAGTAAGGGGCAAGCCCAGGTACGATCCGCCTTTGAACGGTATGTAGTTAGCTACGTCTAGATAGACCTTATCGATTCTGTCCACGACCCACCCGGAACCCCTGTGCGTGTAGCCTTCCAGGTATTCTCGTATTTTTTGCAACGAGGTGTCGATGGACGCGTCTATCATCTCGGGTTGAGTCGCAATTTCTTGTTTACCTCTGAAGTAAGGCTGAACGTACTCAACGGCACCGTCCGTCTGCTGTTTATCAAGCGACATTTTCACCGTAATTTGAAATTTGCGGCTTCCCGGGTCGTTCAGTTCCTCATTGACTTTGTCAGCGATCAGAGGTTTGACGTCGTCGATATATATAGGTTTGTCTACATTCATCCGCCAGCCTCTCAGATAATTACCTATAGCGTGTTCAGTGCGCACGAACTGTAGATCGACGACTCTGTGTTGATGCAACAGTTCAACGAGCTCGGGTTTCCTCATACGGGAATAACACACCAGGCCCAGGCCCAGGGATCATGAAAGTGTCTTAAGTCCATATTTTGTCTTAAGTCTTAAAATTTGGACTTAAGACTAAATTTAGTCTTAAATCGGGGATCACGAAGCTCGATCTTTGAGAAAATCTAAGTCTAAGACCAAATTTGATCTTAAGTCCTAAGACTGCCCCTGAGTAGACTTAAGACAATGTTTGTAGCAGTAAAGATGGCTGAAGTGATTCGCCCCGTTCGTAGGATTCGAGAAATAGACTACATATTCAGAGGACTTTTCGGGATCGTTTCAACCCTATAGACATGTATAGCGACGATCACTCTTTGAAAGATACAGATTTCTTCGTTCTACCATTTTTTTCATTGTTGATGTAATCAGCCATGAACTTGCACATCCCAACCAGCGTTCTCACAGTCTCCCAACCATCATTCAAGTACTGATATTCCTTCAGTTCGTTGCAAGTGGTGCTTTTCACCTATTAGTGGCCCAGTCGTTCTCTGTCAACAAGGCCACAGCCGGCAGGTGTGTCCGAAGAGTGACAGATTCACTCTGCAGACTCTCAACCCGATTCATCGCTTTTCCGACAGGCCAAAGATCACTTGACGTGAAACGCGCTTTCCATGCTATTGCCGGTAAGTAATACGTCCAATAATCACATTTGAGCATTAACATGATAATCTGAATAAACATATTCATGATAAGGATACATACAGTGCTTTCCAGAGTCAACGGAGCCAGCCATTTTGATCTAAAATTAGCACACGACACTGATGCCACCTATAAATGAACATACCGTATTCGTGCTAAAATCATTACGATACGTTTCTCTGCTTCATAGATTCAAGCAGTAGTCTGGGATCGCCTGTATAAGTTTGTTTTACTTTATTCAGGATTTCCAAAAGTGCTCGGCTGTGTCGATTGCACACATATAAGGATTGCGAATCCATAGGTAAACGAAGCTGAAGGGATTTCACTCTCTTAATGTTCAGGTAACTGAAATAATAATTTGATGACTGTGTTCCATTTGGATTTTCAATAAATGTATTAATTTCCAGAAACACTGAATTCATACACCTGTAAATATATATAAGAATACTACTACATATCCAGTTTCAGAATAATTACACCAACTCCAATATTACATAAAAAAACAGATGTTGACAAAGAAAGATAATTATGTTTATTAACATACATATAAAATATGGGATATTGAATGCATGTGATGTGCATGTCCTTATCAATTTTATGTAAATAAATTGTGATATGGAGCAAGGATCAACCATTTCATATTCCAAAGGGGGAGGAGCTTGGGTGTAGCTGAATAAAGAACATTGTCCCTGATTATATTTAAAAAAACAAAATTATGCAATCCAGATTGTTAAAAGATGTTGTGCCACATGGTTATGGGTGCTTTTTAATCAAAAATATTCTGGTTAATAGATTAAATTCCTGTCTAATATTTCAACAAATTCCAAGACTCCAGTTCCTTTCCCCCTCAAATATATCAAATTTGTCTAAAACAAATCTCCTTATAGGATTCTAAATACAGAATGCATTTTCTTCAGATGGTTTGTGACCCCAAGTTTCTAATCACCAACTGTGTGGCCAACTGGCCCGGATCATGCCATGATGCACGGATATTCAGGAAGTGTAAGCTCTGTCATAATTTTGAAAAAGGTAAGTATTCAAGTTTTCAAGATTTCTTCTGTCATTCCAGATGCCTATAGAACAAGTGTACTGTCCTCAGATTATAACAATACAGACGATAACATTTAAAATATACTGATTTCACTTCAGCTAAACTGATGGTCCAAAATGCAACATGTCAGTAAATATATTTATTGTTTATATCAGAAAATATGGTGATAATACATAGTGACAAAACTTAAATGTCACATGTAGGTCAATGTAGAGTGATAAAGTTCCTGAACATTGTAGAAAACTATTTTGATTTACATATACACATCGATGATACAGACTTGTATTTAATTCATAAGTGCAACCCCCTGATGTATTTAACTGCATACAGAGCGTCTTTCACTCTATCATTTGTGTCACATATCCCGTATCGTGAACTAGTATAAAATGAAGGCTATAGCAAATATTACAATATGTTGTGTGACCCAAGTTGAATTTGTTATCAAGAACTTTACAATATCAGCATTGGCAAAGATTTCCTTGTCACAGCTGAAATACTAATTTTGTGTTATAAGTCTTAGCTTCTGTATTTAGTGTTTAATCAGGTCATAACTATGCAAAGTGTTAAAGATAAATGAATATGAATATGTATTTCAGGTCTTCATGGTGGATTCCTGCTTGGGGACTCTAGATACCCCTGTAGATGCTACCTGATAACTCCCTACCACAATAATGGCGATCTGAGGCATAAAGAGAGATATAATTATTCTCTCTGCAGGACACGTGTACTCATTGAACAGACCTTTGGCATTTTAAAAAGACGCTTCCCTTGTCTGTCTACTGGATTGAGAATCAATCAAACCAGAGCCTGTAAATATGTTATCTCATTTGTAATATTACATAATATAGGAATTTTGAAACAAGATATTATAATCAATGATGTAGATGAATTGACAGATCACCAACAGCTGCAGCTTCAGGGAAATGATGGCTTCAGTATCAGAGACCATATTGCCCATAGCTATTTCAATTAATCATTCTGTCAAAAAAAATCAGAAGAAAGTTGTTAATTTATATAAAACATTAGATAGAACATTTAATTACTCAGAGTTGAAGTTGCAATATTACTCTGTTAAGCTGAAAGTTGGGTCAATATTTCGTATCTGCAATATTGTCAATTTTTGCTGCAGCCTAAATACTCGAATTTGTTCTCTTATCAGTTGTCCTTAATTTTCTCTAGTTCCTCTTTTAGTATTTCTTCTTCAGTTGACACTTTCACATGTCCAGCTGGTTCACCCCCCAGAAAAGAACTTGAAATCATAGTTGGGTCCAGATCAGGGATGTCAGTGATGCTGAAGGCCATATCATCAGCCGAGTTCAGATCAACTTCAATGGTTGTTGCTCCATCATGTGGGGCTTCAGCAGTTTCTGAGATATTCATGAAGTCTGAAAACAATAATTACTAAAGTCATTATTTATTCTTTCAAACATGAACTTCTCTATCATTATGTCAAATCTATTGAACAGAAATAGAACGTAAGCATTACATGTTATTGAGTAAAAGATGTTCCAAGCACCAAGTGTATCATAATTAGAAATGTAAAATGAACATATGTATATGTGAAATTGAAATTCATTAGCACATTTTATGCAAATGTTTCAATTCTTCACAGTGGACAACAATTGCACAGTCAGTTACAATATAAACTGTTTCCTAAAGCTAATATAATAGAATATATTATGCTTGTATGCATGATCTCTACTGATCACGTTGCCATCTTCATCTGGAAAGAAATTAACAAATGCAACCGGTATTGTCCAGATCAAGCATCATGATGTTGTGTTATATTGGAATTGCATAATCACTAAATGCAAACCAAAGTAAACTTTATGTGAAAAGGTATTTTTTCTGTTTTTCAATAACTGCAACAATTGGTATTTACTTTTCATGATGTTACATTTCAAACCTTTCACATATTTATCTGTATGTTTTTAACAACTTGTATAAATCAATTTACCTTCTGTGTCAATCCCGCCATCCACCCCACACAAACTTGGTCTCCCCTCCAAATTATACAGCACTAGTTGCTCGGGTACAGATGGGGAATTGGCTCTTGGTCCACCACCTGTTGGGGGTGTCATATACAAGCTTCTCTTTGCCTTGGCTAAAAAATATACATTCTTGTAAATACATTATGAAATCATAACATGTTGGAATGATACACACGTATTGTACATAACTGAGAATGTTCAACATGATGTCATCAATAACAGTAAAATTAATTGCATTTTGGAACAATAAACTATATATTCTGATATGAAGTTGTGTCATGTGAAGCTTGCAATATTAATATAGACAGTTCCATATCAGTTATTTGTAATATATTATATTACTGTTTCATATTACATAATGATTTTGGTCAGATGGAAATTAAATAAAAATGTATGCTGTAAAGGAATTGATTTCAAGTATCAGAATATAAATTTTACCTTTCTGTTGGATATTTTGATACTTTTTCCTTATTTCACTCAGAGTTCTGAGTCCAGATCGACCCCTTCTGCAACAAACAAAGGTCTCTTAGCCTGTTATTTCTGGGATGTGCAGGTTATATGACAATATGTATACGAGATACGTAGATATGTTTGATAAGCCATGTTGGATTATTAACAGTCACTGTCTGCATGGTCACTGTTTACATAGTACGTCTTGGGTCAAATTCTATCCTAAATGATAATTCAAAATAAACTGATATTTCAATAATCCTTTGACAAATAAACACTAGAAGGTTTTTGTGTGCACGTGTGTCGAAATCACATTGAGGTTGGGGAGTATTTTAGAAACTATATTAGTCCAGCTACTTACGAGTTAATGGGGCGGCGATTTCTTCCTAGGCTTTGGTTTTTTTTCAGTGTGCTCCTTTGGCTTCCGTCCAAACGATCGAAGAGAAGATCCTCCCTCTTAGTCACTTCCTCGACTAGGATAACCTCCTCTGCCTTTGTCCAGTTGACTTTTCTTTTACTTGTTGCGTCCATATTTGCTAAAGCAGACGAGCTGTGTGTTTACAAACAACGGAATCTTCGCGTCTCCGTTTGCTAAAGGGTTGCGCTGTTACCGTACATACGCGAAAATATTACACACGTTCTTTTTGTTGATATCTAGTTATTTAACGTGGATGGACAGGTGCGTGCAGGTGCCTTGTGGTCTTCTTTCACTAAAGAATCCCCTCACATGCTGATAGCATTCTGAGAATTGCCAGCATTGCCATGGTGACAGACTTAAGCTTAGTCTCACATAAGATTTTGCTAAGACCGTTTCATGATCCAGTCTTAGCACGAGTCTTAGCTAAGCAAAAACAACCGAACTTAAGACAAATTTCGTGCTAAGCAATGTTCAGACTTTCATGATCCCGGGGCCAGGTCTTTCGCTTTTAGTTTGAGTTGTTCACAGTGGGAAGAGGTTGTACGGGTTCATGCAGCCATTCGACTAGCACGTCTTTCCTCAGGCGGGAATAACCCTTCAGCCCCAGCTCTTTCGCTTGGAGTTTGAGTTGTTTCACAGTTTCAACAGCTGAGATTTCTTCAATCGGGAGTAACCAACTACACCTGGTTCTCGTGCAATTAGTTTAAGCTCTCGAACAGTAGACATTGTTATACTAAGTTGCAAACCCAATCTCTGATTGGGTCACCGGTTATGAAGGGAGGTTACTCTACCAGCCTTATTTACTGAGTAAAAACAATTGAAGCGCGCATAAAATGTTTTTTGTTTTTTTTTCACTTTCACCATGTGGAGGGGTGGCAATAATAGGTCCACTTCAGCGTTGTAGTCAGCTATGCTTAGATATGCTTTCTGTACTCAACACGTTCCTGGTGTTTTTGTATGTTTAGTAATGAGGTGTTGAAATACATATCTATCTCCGGTTGAGTGGTGATTTTTCGTCAACCTGTGGTGGGGAAAACAACCCCCAAGGCCCAATCAGTCCGCGTTATTTTCAATACGAATCGAAATTTGAAGTGTCCCAAGTCGTTCAGTTCCTCTTCTAGTTTGCTGGTGATTATAGGTTTGTGATTATAGGTGACGGGTGTAATTTGGGCTACTTTCATCCGCCGGCTGCTCAGATAATCTTTCGAGGTTCTAGTAGATCGCACGAACTGTAGATCGGTCATTGTTATACTTACTTGCAAACCCAATCTCTAATTGACTCCCCGGTTATGGAGGGGAGGTAACTCCGTCAGCCTTATCTGCCAGGTTAAAAAAATAAAGCCTTTCTAACGTTTCATTCTGAGGAGGCGCTTACGTTCGTTCAAATAATCTTTTCGTCTTCTGGTAAATAAGTTGGTTTCGGACCACGTTCGACCCGTGGGCTCTACAGAAACGGTAATAACATTTCACTCCAATACCACACACAGAGCACATGTAGTTCAGGAAACCATTTCTGATAGTCTTCATGTGTATACAGCAGTACTCCTCAGTCCTGCAATTCCCCAGTCAGTTTTCCCCATAAGTACATATTGACAACGATACGGAGTGGGTCTCATCTTTGTTATATTTATATGAATATTTAATCTAATTGTTTCACAATTAACACGGTCGCTGCTAGACCCAGTGCGACGAAGATCAGTTCTCGATTGTTTTGTTCCGGGGAAGGCGCGTAATACTGAGAGAGTGTGGGTTCATCATTGAGAGGTTCTAGCTGTTTACCGGTTATCAACTGCAGGTAGTATTCTTTGGCGGCGTCATCGACGTTCTTGAACGTTCGAACGGCACGGTTTTCACGCTCAAGTTGATCGTTAATGACTCTCGTAAATTCGAGAAAAGGTAATTGCTCCCGGAACATGCCATGGCTTTGACTAAAGCCCCGCCGACCATCATGGCGATCGCAGCCATTCTATATATGTTTGTATTACTTTAAAATATAGAACGTCCTTGTGGCCATCGCCATACCCAAATTCATGATGAGCATGACCATACCCTGCAGATCGAAATCGAGCTTGATCGTAGGTTGCTTGAGAACCATTTTTGTTAAACGAGCGTGACCTACGGCTAGACCGGTGACCACGGTGGCGTGGTATGCGTCGTTAACGAATGTTTTTCCTTTAGACATTATATATACAACAAAAATATATTTTATAGAACAAACTTTATGGATACCAACTTCTTTTTGTTAGTGAGTGCGACGTTTCGATACAGATTCTTGTACCGTTGTACAGAATTGTTTATTCTCGAAAATCATACAGAATGATATAGAGAACATACAGTCGTTTAAATACAATATCATATGGGTAGGTATTTTGATTTAGAAGCGTCTAAGCACAGTTTTAGCAAAAAGTGAAAGTTTCAATAGGAGTGGGGTATAGTTTGATTTCATAAGTAAGATAAATTTGTCCATATGTGGATTATTACAGAAATAAGAGGGAAGTATCTTCTTACGTTCAACATTAAGCTGTGTACAGGATAAAATAGCATGATACTCGTCACAAATAATATTATTTTTACAAATTGTACATGTTCTGTTTCCTAGATTAATATTAAACCATCGTCCCGTTTCAATGGGTAATCTATGATTAGAAGTTCTTAATTTTGTTAACCAGATACGAAATTTTGATGGTAGATCTAGACGATAAGGTTCTAAAGTAAGTGAGGTTTTATATAGATGATAATATTTTCCTTTAGATGAATTTTGGGCATCAGCATACCATGATTGTTTGAACTGGTCAATTAATGAATTTTTGACATCATGTTTCAACCAGTCGATGCTAGGGAACTTTTGAGATTGCCAAATATAGGAGAGCCCGACGTTTTGAAGAATATTTTGGACTGCTTTAGTTGGTCGAAATCAGCATTCTGGAGAGATGATCTCAATTTCATAATGTTATGAAGAATGTGGGGAAATTTACTAGTTTCAGTTGTAACTTTACACCAGAAGCTGATGATTTTTACTTTTATAAGAACATCAATAGGATATCTGCCTAATTCACCATATACCATAAAATTTGGGGATGATTGTTTTACTTTAAGAATAAATTTACAAAACTTTAAGTGCGTTCTTTCCAAGATGATTGAATTTTCATAGCCCCACACTTCCGAACTGTAAAGTAGGATTGGCAAGATGCATTGATCCAAAAGTTTTAGTTGACAATCAATTGGTATTTGTAGTTTTCGGATAATTTAAAGATGGAAAACAGGGCTCTTGATGTTTGTTCCGAAAGTCTCTTAATTGCCTTTGTGAATTTACCATTAGCATTAAACAATATTCCCAAATATAGATATTCTCGAACAACCTCAATTTCATCATTACAAATTAGAAACTTATGCTTATTCCTAACATATCCTTTTGAAAATATCATAATCTTAAGTTTTGTTAATGTTAACTTTAAGTTTCCATAAAACACAGTATTCTGAGAATCTATCCAAAGTTAACTGCAAATCTTCTGCGTTTGCTGCTAGTAGAACAGTATCATCCGAAAATAATAAAACCAGTAGCTTAATATACATACCAAGTTGTTCATTAATTAAGCTATTTACAATAGTAAGGCCTTGTACATTGTTTTCACACAGGAAGGATTCAAAATCATTTATGTACAACGCAAATGAAAACGGTGATAAATTCTCCCCCTGTCTAACACCAGTGTTACATGAGAATAGGGGTGACATGACATTGTTGAGTTTAACACATGATTTGATTTGCTGATACATATTATGAATAACTATAAAACATTTATTACTTACATCAGATTTGATCAATTTCATCCATAACCAATTTCTCCAAACACTGCCAAAAGCTTTGCTAAAATCAATGAAGGTGCAGTATAATTTCTTGTTAAGATTTTTTGTATATGTCGATGAGTGATTTAAGAACATAAACGTGATCTATAGTTGAAAAGGATTTACGGAAGCCTGCCTGCGATTTATTTATCAACTGAATGGACTCTGAGTAATTTTGAAGCCTGTCCGAAATAATTGAGGTGAATAATTTGCCCAAGCAGCTTACAATGGTAATACCCCTGTAGTTATCAGGATTTTGATGGGTCCCCCTTGCCTTTGAAAATTGGTCTTATATAACCTGTTACCCAAGCTTCAGGTACAACACCATTGTTTAAAACACAATTAAAAATATTTACGTATGCAGGCATCATTACACCAAGCGAAGATTTTATGTATTCGTTGTAAACACAATCAAGCCCACAAGCCTTGTCGTTTAAGGGCTTTCACAGCACACGCAATTTCATTCTCAGTAATAGGTTTATCTAACATTTCACAATCACCAAGCTCGCTCGTGTCAAGAGTTACATCATCAACTACATCCACTTCATTCATGCACTTAAAATGATTGAAAAGTTTATCCAACTCAATATTGTTATTTTTACGTTTTTTTGAGAAAGATTTTAGGATACCCCAGAACGACTTGGGGTCTGTTTTTTAGCCAATCGAAGTTTG